CCTCAATTCTGAAATGGTGAGGTATGTAGAAGAAAGAAGTTGAAGTTGGTGCAGGAAAAAGAACAAAAACACATCACAAGTTATACAATTTTATCAAATGCTCATGTTGCATCAGACTTAAATGACGATGATGAACTTAAACTAAAATAAATTGTTCGTCCGATGGGTAGGGACAAAGCGAAAATAAATCATCTTCTTATAATGACTCACGATTCAACCAAGTAGAATAAATGCAAAAAAAATGGCAACTTCGAACAATAAAACTTGAATTTTAGCAAAAGTTTGGCGTTCGAGACTGAGAAATTTTAAAAAAAATAATTGAATGAAGAAAAAAAAACACAGTTGAGGAAAAACCAAAGGCGTGAAGAAAGAAAAACGTGTGGCAAAAACAACACATCAACAATTTGAAATATTTAATGGAAAGAACTGATCACATTTTGGGAGAAGAACTAAGAATGGTTTTAAGTGAAGACGAACATTAAGAAAAAAAATATATCGACTAGGACTTTTTTATTCGGCACAATCTTGTACTTTAGTTTTTGTTATGTTTTAGTTTGATTTCAATTTTAATTATGTAATTTTTCTTTTCAAGTAACGAAATTTTCTTTGTGTTTATTTATATTATATATTTTTTAAATTATAGTATTTTAACTTTCTTAGAAAAATAATAATATGGAAATTATATATACTATTAATCTTTAAAACGGCCGTGAATAGGAATTTTTTTGCTTTCTCATTTCTACCACTTAAGTTTTCTTCAATTACTCCTTTTGCCACGGGCTGCTTGCTTTAGAGTTACTTTTATTTCTCATTTATGCCCTTTTTTCCTTGCTTTATGCATTTACCACCGGATATTTTTTTTTTTTTTTATCCTTGGCCGCCTTAATGCCTAAAAGAACCGACTTAAAGTTATTCTAGATGGACTTAAAGTGATTGTAGATAGACGTCGGCTTCTTGGTACATCTTGCGTTCTAATTTTGCTTTCTAATTCGCGCTTTTGATTTCTGTTTGTCGGTATATCACTTTAAGTAGACGTCGGCGTCTTGCTATATCTTGCGTTCTAATTTTGCTTTCTAATTGCCGCTTTTGAATTTCTGTTTGCCGGTATCTTGCGATTATATGTTCTTTTGTTGTTGGGTGTTTTTTTTTTTTTTTTTTTTTTTTTTAAATTTAGGTATCTATAATTGCTGTTATGTACTTATTTGATGTCTGGAGTTTTGTCTTCCAAGCGTCCCTTATCTAGACGTTTAGCTGGTATTTTACCTCCTGAGATACCTTCTTTGCCTGTTTTGCCTGCTTATGATGATATTGGTGATTGTAATTTTGTTTGTGTTTCGTGTTCTGCTCTGTTCTGGTTTGATGAAAGGGTTAAGTATTTATCACGTCCACAGTGTCCTGCTTATAGCCGTTGTTGTAGGTCTGGCTCTGTAGTCTTGCCGTATTCGCTTGCACCTCCTCAGTTGTTAGCGGCTCTTTATGATTTCCCCCCTTTTATAAAAAATATTAGGGGTTATAATAATATCTTCAGTATGACCTCTTTTGGAGGTAAAGTTGATGAGGATGTTAATAAAACGGCTGGTCCTTATGTGTTCAAGGTTTCTGGTCAGGTTTGTCATTGGATAGGTGCCTTTGATATACCTGATGAAAAAGGACCTAGATTTTTACAGCTTTATATTGTAGATACAGAACATGAATTACAGAATAGGTTGTCTGCAGTTGAAAGGAAAGACGGTCAGTCTTTAGATCCAATGATTGTTGAAACTCTTATGGGTGTTTTCAATATTCATAATGAGTATGTAAGGACTTTTAAGACTGCCAAAGACCTTGCTGTTGAAAACAGTTTGGTTGACTATGCGGTTTGTTTGTTTAATGATGTCCCTGACCGTTTATATGGACCTCCAGCTCATGGTACTTTGGGTTGTATTGTTGTTGGTGAAGACGCAATAGGCAGTACATACGACATAGTTATACATTCCAGGAGTGGTGTTCCACGCAGGATTAGCAAACTTCATCCTAGCTATATGGCTTTGCAGTATCCTGTCCTTTTTCCGTATGGTGAAACAGGTTGGTCTCCGCGTTTAAAACTTCATGATGAGAGAAGCAGTAAGGTTAGAAATCTTACTATCAATATGTATTATAGTTATCAGATACATGCAAGGAATGGTGTATGGTCTCTTTTGTTAAATTCTTGTAGACTGTTTCAACAGTATCTGGTGGATGCATATGCATGCATCGAATTGTCAAGGCTTGATTTCTATGAACACAATCAGAGCCAACTCAGATCAGCGTATGTTAGTGGCATTTATGATGCACTTTCACGTGGTGATACTGAAAGTCGTTCTGTTGGTAAGCGTGTTTTTTTGCCTCCATCTTTTGTTGGTGGTCCAAGATACATGTACAGTCACTATCAGGATGCTCTTTCTATCTGCCGGGAATACGGGAATCCACAGTACTTTATAACTTTTACGTGCAATGTTGGATGGCCAGAAATCACACGTTATATGAATTCCCATCATCAAACTGATGTTGGTAGTAGAGCTGATATAATTTCACGGGTATTTCATATGAAAGTCACTGCATTCATTGCATATCTGAAATCTGATAAGACTTTTGGCCCTGTTTCAGCATGTAAGTTCCTTTCTAACTTATGTCTTGCTGATTTATATAACAATTGTGTATTTTTTTATTCTAACATTATATATATATATATATATATATATATATATATATATATATATGTATGTATATTTTTTTGTAGATCTGTATACCATTGAATTTCAAAAGAGAGGGTTGCCTCATTGTCATATACTTATATGGGTTGAAGACTCACATAAGATAAAAGATCCTTCAAAAGTTGATGATTACATTACTGCCGAGTTGCCTGATCCTGTTTCAGAGCCACTGTTATATGAAATTGTTACCAGGTGTATGGTCCACGGACCATGTGGTTTGCTGAATTCTAAGGCGCCCTGTATGAAGGATGGAAATTGCAAGAAAAAATTTCCTAAGTCGTTTGTCTCTGCTACGTTTTTTGATAGGGACGGCTACGCTCATTATAAAAGAAATTCAAGTTCACTTCATATGTTGCAGAGTGGTATACAGATAGATAACAGATACATAGTTCCGTATAATAAGAGGTTGTCCAGTCGTTTCAACGCACATATTAATGTTGAGTATTGCGGGTGGAATATGATGATTAAGTACCTGTTCAAGTATGTATCAAAGGGAATGGAACGGGTCAGATTTGTTGTTCAGAAAGATACTCAATGTGCTGATACGTCTGTCTCTGGACAATGTATAGTTGTTGACGAGATAAAAAATTATATTGATGGGCGTTTTCTCTGTCCCCATGAGGCTGCATGGCGGATACTTGATTTTCCTATTCATGAGCGTGATCCCCCTGTTATTATTCTTCCTGTCCATTTGCCGAATATGCAGTCGGTATTCTTTAAAGAAAATACTCAAATCAAAGAGGTAGTCGAAAATCCCACCTTTGGTAGTAGTTTGCTATTAGGTTGGTTTGAAAAGAATAGATGGGATTCAACCGGTCGCGAACTTACATACGCCTCTTACCCCACGAAATATTGGTGGGATGACAGGGAAAAATGTTGGAAAAGAAGAAGGCGTTCAAACTCCCGTGCACTTGGTAGACTTATATTTGTCCACCCAACTGGTGGAGAGTTGTTTTTCTTGAGGATGTTGCTGTCCCACCAAAAAGGTTGTAAGTCATATGAAGAGCTTCGCACTGTGTCAGATGTAATGTACGATGATTTCCGTAGTGCATGCAATGCATTAGGGTTGATTGGAGATGACAAAGAATGGATGGATGCTTTTGTGCAAGCTTCTGAGTGGGCGACTTCATCTCAGTTGCGGTCTCTTTTCTGTTATCTTCTGCTTTTATGTGATGTTAATGATCCCATGTGTTTGTGGGACATTGGATGGAGAAAAATGAGTGATGACTTAGTTTATAGGATGCGGTCATCAAATCCTACTATTGAGTTGAATATAGATGATAGTCATATACAACAATTGGTCTTATTTGAATTAGATCACATACTAAGGTCGTCTACTCCACCACGATCTATTTTGGACTTTCATCTACCAAAACTAACAGATAGCAACATCACACTGTTAAAAAATCGTCTCTTCCTAGAAGAAAGTTCTTATAATAAGGCAGCTCTTATGTCTACTCATGACCATATGTTGCCACTACTGAATAATGCACAGCTGCAGGTGTACAATGACGTTCGCTCTGCAGAGGAAACACAACAACAAGTGCTTATATTTGTTTATGGTCATGGAGGAACCGTAAAAACTTTCTTGTGGAATACATTGCTTGCTTATTTCCGTTCAAGAGGAAAAATAGCACTAGCTGTTGCTGCCTCAGGAATTGCTTCTTTGCTTCTTCCATCAGGAAGGACAGCTCATTCCAGGTTTAATATTCCAATAGACTTTTCAGAAAAAACCGCATGCAATATAAGAAAACACACAATGCTTGCTGAGTTGCTAAAGCAAACTTCTATTATCATATGGGATGAGGCGCCAATGAGTGACAGACGTTGTTTTGAATGTCTAGATCGTTCTTTAAAAGATATACTTGACTGTGAAGCAAAAACTTTTGGTGGTATGTCTATGTTGTTAGGAGGAGACTTCCGACAGACATTGCCAGTGTCCCCAAAATCTACACCGTCTGAGATAGTTTCTCTAACTCTACCCAATTCCTATCTATGGCCCTATTTCAAATTATGTAAACTAAGTGCCAACATGAGACTTAAGGATTCATCTATGTCATCGAAAATAGAGTTAAATGCATCAGATTTTGCGACATGGCTGGTTCAGGTTGGAGATGGTAGGATTGGTAATATGGATACTGTTGATAGGATAAATACTAATGGATTGAAATCCCTAGGTCACTCCTTATACCTCCATCGGAAAACGGGTTAGATTCCCTTATAAATTTTGTTTATGGAGATATCTTTCAAACCAATGTCTCAACAAGCATGTTATCTGGCAGGGCAATAGTTTGTCCCAAAAACGAAACAATACAACACATAAATGATATTGTTATGCGTAAAATTCCTGGGGTTTCAAAGATTTACGAGAGTGCTGACAGCATTGAATTTAACGGGAAGCAGACTACAGAGTTTAATACATTTTATCCGTTGGAATATCTTAATGGACTTACATTTCCAAGCATACCTGCACATTCACTTTTATTAAAAATTAACACACCTATAATGCTAATTCGAAATATAAATCAGAAAGAAGGTTTGTGTAATGGTACACGATTAATGGTCTCACAGTTGTTATCAAATGTGATTGAGGCATCAATTATTACTGGAACCAGCATTGGGAAGAAGGTTTTTCTGCCTCGTATTAGATTTATTCATAAAGCTCCTGATATACCTTTTACATTCATAAGAAAGCAATTTCCTGTTAAAGTTTGTTATGGTATGACTATTAACAAAAGTCAAGGTCAGTCTTTAACGAGAATTGGAATATATTTGCCGGAACCTGTTTTCACACACGGCCAACTTTATGTTGCATTGTCACGTGCCACATCTCCAGAAGCAGTTAAAATACTTATGCATTCTGATGATAAAACGACAAACAACATTACAAAAAATGTTGTTTTCAAAGACTTCTTACAAAAAATAAATAACTCAGAGGTTAAACATATATACAATGTTTCTGTTTTTTTCTTGTATCTGATTCATTTTATTGTACCATATTACGTTAACTTTTTAGATGTAATAAAAAATAATGTTGTATTAACTTTTTTCTTTTCCAGTTTTAACCATGTCCCAAACAGTAACAACAGTTTCCAATCTACATTATGGATGTCCAGGAACAACAATACAGGTCTACAACTATACTTTAGTTTATGCAACATATACATTTTTATTATGGGGTATGTATATAGATGCAAGATATGAGTTTCATTCATGTTTGCAGCTTCGAATATTGCGAATGTGGACTCCACAAGTAAGGACTCAGGAAACATGGTTCTTAGCTGTTGATAGAAATGTAAGTTATACCATTATTTTATTTTTCCTTATTCCGTCACAAGTTTATACTAATTTATTCATAATATTTATATAAGGGTGATGCTGTTCAAATTTTGGGTCAGCGAAAAGACCAAGGATATTTACAATCTGTCCTAATTCCCAGTAAATGCTATACGATTGAAAAATATGCATGCGGAATTCCAGACCGATATCAGAAATGGCTGGATAATGAGGTCTACATAGCTGCTGGAATGGCATCATCAATTACATCTATCCAAGACACACATACAATTCCTGCATGCTGGTTTACTTTCATAACTAAAAAACAAATCGCAGATTACGTGGATCGACATGCAGGTTATCATTTACTTATACAGCATTCACGTTTTTAAAGTAAACACTTACATAAATCGTTAATAACTTTTGTAAACCACTAAATTCCATTTGCAGATTTTATTGGTGTCTTCAGCAAACTTATTAGGTGTACGAAGAAAAACAAAGAACCATATCTATTACTAATATTAAAGAATGAATTGTAAGTAAGGTATTTTTATAATTATTTTCATAAGGTTTTAACACGCTTTATAAATACCAACATTAGAGGCGAGGATATTGCAATAAGCTTATGGAAAGAATGCACGAACATACCTTCAAAGTTTGATGCTGTTGGTTTGGAAAATACTGTTGCTCCCGTTGTTGTTGCGATAACTAGTATAAAGATTTCAACCTATGATGGTATACTTTTTTTTTACTATTCTGATATCATCTATTAACTTGTAACAAATATATTTTTTACATTCATGTTATGTATAATTGGTAATTTAAAGGTTCCCTAAGACTTGGAACAAGCAGTGCAAGTCACCTATACATCAATCCACCAATTCCAGAAACACCGCTTCTAACGGACAGGTATTTTAACGCATATAAAAACATTGTAAATATTTCGTTAATGATTAATATAATTTCCCGATTGTACAGTTTCCGTACGTTTAGTGACTCCTCTATATTTTTCGACATCCCAACACCATTAGGAGACATATTACAAAGAGGTCATCCTGAACTCCTGGTATATTTTTTTATTAATGCAATTTAAATTATGTAGATTATGACAACATATCTATTATGCAGAACAAAAGTTTCACTACAAAAGCTGTCATAACTGCGTATGTATTTTCTGATTGTTGGTACCAAGTTCAATGTCCAAATTGCAAGATCCAACTTTTAAACAGGGGAAAAGTTGGTTCTGTCCTTCAGATGGTATAATCAATGCACCAACTATAATGTAAGTCTAAATATATAACTTTTATGTTAACAAATATTTAACCAAATCATAGATTTTATACCTACATTTACTATGCAAAACCCCAGGTTCAAGCTTAGTGCAACACTTACAGACGAAAATAATTCTATAGTTGCTCTGCTCTCCGATAACGCAACACAAGACTTATTCGGTTCTACAGCTGATAAACTTATACCAGACGATGACATAAACTGTAGAGGACAACTACCTGCAATTGCCACTACTGTACAAGGAATAGCCAAAAAAATGAAACTTCGTATCACAAACACATCGACAGATACGAACATTCGCTTTATGATTACAGATATCGAAAAAAGTAACCCACAGGAAACAGCATACCCAACAACACCAGCACCACATCATCGATCTCCATCAAAAGACAGCGAGAAAGACTGTTCTTCAGTTCCTCAACACAGTAGAGCAAACGTCAGAAGGTCATTACCATTTGAAAGCCAAGGTAAATATTTCTCTATTATCTGCATACACTACAAAGTAACCTCTTACATTTTTGTTAACAAATACGTATATAATTATATGTGGAAATTTACTATTGCAGACACATCAAATACAAAGCGTAAAAGTGCACGCAAGATAGAATGATCCATCTCCCCTCCGACGTTGATAATGATGACATTATCAGTTTTGCATAATATGTATAAACTAAAGTCCAGAAAACATGTTTTTTAGTCTCAGACTTTGTGGTATTTGGCTTTTTATGATAGTAAATATCAGTAACATATGTTCATTAATCTATCACCTATCGTCGTATATTAACCTTAATTTAAATAAGAAAAATGACAAATTTTCAAATAAAATTTATGATTTCGTTTACTAAAATATTAAAAATGGAATACCTTTACAGAGGATTATCTCTTTACTTTTTATATCGGCCTTCTTTCCCTATGTTTTAATTTAATACAACCTTTAAGCGTAACAAATATATTGACCTTCAACATAGTATAACTCCTGACTTAAAAAGTTCAACGATCCTAACCTTTTTGATATTAAAAACAAATATAATTTTTATCACAACCCCTCTGCTATCAAAATATCACAGTATTTCATAATTTCTATTTAACCTTCCATATGTCATGATTACCTGCAAAGTCTATGACTACCACATAGACATCAACACACCATTAAACACATCTGCACACAGCTAAGAATTAAACTCCTCCCTATCTATAATTCACTGTTATCTTGGAAATATATCATACTTTTAAAACGTTATATAAATCGTTATTTTTATTAAAAACAAAAGTAGTCATTATCTGTCCACTATTGACCCTTATCCAGGATTTAAATTAAATCATATATATAATCTTTACACACGAAAATCATACCTGGCCACGTTGTTTAACAAACAACTTGACAACGCATGCTGCATACTAAGCCATGCTATAGCTACGAAAAATTATCATACATCCAACTCTAATACTATCACTCAATCCACCACACACATACATTGTCTCTTCTATAAATAAATGCCATAACGAGCCATTAAAAACAATATACCCAGAATGAATAACAGCGATTACAACAAAAGTTTGACCATCATGATCGATTTCCTTAGGGAAATCGGTGATATACTTGAAGCAATCCAATCTCGACTAGAAGAGAGTTTCTGCATCGACGAAAATATCGTATTATACATAGCGAATCACCCCGACGACGTAGATGTTCAAACACTGCATAACATCTTTGAGAAAGCAAAAACAGAAGATCAGTCCATACGGGACAACATCTCCTTCATGTTGGGAACAATCCACAAAAGAATTGGCAAGTACAAACGTGGCATGAAAGATACACCCTCCGACTGAAGACCCGATTTCCTAGTATTAAAATATTAGACGTGTTATGTATATACAACAATGTAAACAGGAAGTGTAACCGTTTGAATGTTCATAAATAAAATAACTTTATCTATTAACGATTTCGTAGACTTCAAATATTACTTGTGTTATGTATATACGACAATGTAAACAGGAAGTGTAACCATTACAACATATTATTTATAAATAAAATAACTTCATCTATTAAAATACGTCTAAATATTAAAACAACCAAAATCAATTAAATTTCGAAGGCCTAACCTCCAAGTACACTTGCACATATGAAAAACACGTAATTAATTAGGAGATTACTCATCACACATTTTCTGCAACACGTGTAAGCTAATATTACAAATTTTCTTAAAAGCACTCTATAAATTACATAATGTACCTCAAACACAAACACACTTTATAGAAAACTACCCAAAGATCAACACATGCTACGATAACTACCTGGCAATGAGGGCCATGCAAGATATGGAGAAGAAATACGAGGAGCTGATCAACAAAATCAAAGAAGATATAAAAAAAACTTCCAGAAGACAAACATCCATATATCTAATAATTATCAATATAATCTATCTTTCAGTACTATATTTATAAGTTGTAAGCCAAAAAAAGTCCTGAATTAGCGTCAATAGGCGCAGTTGATTCCATCTAGTTAAAATGAGGTGACGCCAATGTGCTAGCGTACAAAAAAACATCCACAATAAAGTACTTTTTATTTGAGTTTTTTCACCAAAAAATTCAAAATACAAAAGTTCATTGTATCTTACAAAAAAATTTTGTTTTGCATTTCGTTAATGATTTTTAAATGTTCTATATTTTTCATTGGTTAAAACACTCTGATTCAATACAAAAATTGAAAAAACAGCTTGTTCGTTAAATTAAAGGGATGTTTGAGATTTTATTTTGAATCTAAAAAAGATTTATAAACAAGAAGACTTTTTAACTTATGATGGTCACAAAATTAATTTTTTTTAATAAAATGTTTGTATTATACTTTATGGTAGAAAAAATCAATATGTCAATATTATATATATATATATATATATATATATATATATATATATATATATATATATATATATATATATATAAATTTTTCTTAGTTTATATATGTTTTTGTTTTAAGGAGTATTTGTTTTTCACAACTCAAAAAGTTATAAAGTGTTTTGAAAAATCAAAAATAATAACTTATTGAAAATTTCTTTTGAAGAGTTATTACTTCACTTTAAAAGTTATATTCATATTGCCAATTTTTTTTTATTGACCTTTTAGAAAACCAATAAATCGGTTAAGTTATTTTTAAATGAATCTCAAACACCCGTTAAAAAAAGAGAAGATTACAAATTTAGCCAAAAACGCTAATTACTTTGTGGAAACTAGCAAAAAAACATAAAAACAAAAAAAAAACAAAAACAAAATTACAAAAATAACCATTGGGTTTAGGGCTGACAAATATGTACCGCAGAGAACCAACCAACATGTTACAAACCGAACCAATTAAATCGGTAGCCAAGTTGTTTGGTAGCCAATATGTTTAGCTGATAATATAATGTCAATTAAGTAGTCTTGGTACGGTAACGATATGAAATTTGAATATCACGGTTGTACCGTACCAACATATATATATATATATATATATATATATATATATATATATATATCAATTCATAAATACAAAAAAAATATGAATTCTCATATCTTCAAGTTTTAATTAGAATAGCAACTAACAAATCTTAGAATTACTAAATTAATACATTGACCGAAAAATTTCTTGATACTTATTGTTTGATGTGCACGACATCGATGATACATACACTAAAACTTAAAAAGGAATACTAACTTCTTATTCTTTGTACTTGTACTGTTACCATATGTTTCCTATAGTAACTTGCTAGTTGCTGGGGGTGGTTCTCTTTTAATCCTTTTAGTGGTTTTCAAAAAAAAAAAAAAAAAATACTAACAGAAGCAAGCAAAGCAACGACAAAATGTCCACAAATTCAACTTATATTCATGTATAATATATATTAGTTAAAAATTTTGGTATATACCAAATACCAATATATACCAACCAAATTTGTTGGTAGCCAAATTAATTGATACCAAATACACTTGGTACGGTACTAGTAGCTAAAATCTTATACCAACTATAGTTGGTACGGTACACGGTTTGGAGAAAAAACCTCGGTACTGTACTAATTTCACCTCTAATCGGGTTCGAAGATAGGAAGCCCAGGTTCACAGATGGACTGGTCCATCTACGAACGTACAACCTGGTAAAGCATAGGCATGCTTCATCGACTTGTACGTTCGTAGATGAACTAGTCCATCTGCGAACATAGGTAGCCATCTACGAACCAAGCTCTTGCCCAACTATAAAAACATATTTTTGTTCATTTTCACTCTTTTTTGTTGGAAAACTCTCATGGGAAATGATTTTCTTACCCCATATACAATTATTGACGATTTCATGAACAATCCTGTTAATATGGTAAGATCTTTACTTGTTTTGTGTTTTAATAATCATTTATCAATTTAGGCATTATTATTCTTATTAATTATGCCAAAAAATTTGTAAAAAAAAAACTTTATTGTGTTTTATTATTGTATTTTTTTTTGATTTATGTGTTATATTTGATAGTTAGTAGATTTTATTAGTAGCCTTAAAGTTTTGATGGTATTTGATAAGTAGATGTATTATGTAAATTGTATATTATGTGGCTGTACATTTTTGTTAATATGTTTAATAATATTAAATTTTTGATATAATAATAATTATTAGTTATTATTGCTGCTTGATGATGTTGTACCTTTACATTTTGATGTTGTACATGTTGTATATATACTTTATCAAAAAATATATTTTTTCTTAATATGTTTAATAGTATGAAATTTTTAATATAATAATTATTAATAATTATTATTGCTGCTTGATGATGTTGTACCTTTACATTTTGATTTTGATGTTGTATATGTTGTACATATCGTTTATCAAAAAATATTTTTTTAATTGGTATTGTTATAAAAAATGATTATAAATATCTTGCTTATAAATAGAATGTTGGTTTATTTTGTGATTTAAATTGGATTATTTATCCCGCTTATAAATAGATATTGGTTTATTTTGTGATTTTAGTTGTGGAATTTTTTCTTAATTCTTTAAAATATAATAGTTTTTAAGTTGTTGAGTTTTTTGTTACAATAATATAATTTGTAACATGTTGTATTGCATCGTGATTCTAGAAATCTAAATGTTAAAGTTGTTGTCTAGCTAAAAGGATTGGGATGTAATATATGATAAATATTTGAAGTATTGAATGATGAGCGATATGAGTTTTTTAGAAACATTGTTTTTTGTTATTTGTTAGATGTCGCTCAATTACAAGGGGACATGTTATTACAACTGAATGCAAACAAGCTCAAGAATGGATATACCTCAATAAAAAGAAAATCAAATAGCATCAATAATGGATAAAAAAGATTAAGAAGACAATCAAAATGACTGAAAAATGGCTTGCTGACAAGAATGCAAAGATGATACATCTTAGGGTGCAAAAAGATCATTTAGAAGATAAAATGAAAATTAAGGATGACCATATAAAAATCGAGAAAGAGAAGTATCCATTACAGTTCACTGAGTTTAATAATTAGTTAAAAAATTATTGTAACATTATCATGACTTGGGTTTGCTATTTTTTTTAGATTAACATGTTTTTTTACTGTTTATTTCCAAGTATAAAAGCATAACAACAACTTAGAATATAAAAGTTTCATTTGTTGTTATAATGTTCAAACTAAATTAAAATATAAAAGCATAACAACATCTTAGAAAA